AAAAATGTGTACTCAACTACTCAAGTATCCAAAACATAGATGTATTTTATAGCATGCATGGCTGAATAGGAAACAAGTAGTTTTAGCTTATACCGGAAACTTAGGAACCAACGAAAAAATCTTTTCTGGAATCACAGAAAACAACATAACAAGATACATTTTGTTTGTGAGTGAAGACAGTTTGGTCTCTTGGGCGATTTTTACCCCACTCCAGCGTGGGGTGATGTGACGCACACTGGGACAAATAAGTCTATGTGAATTGAGATTTCCTCCTCTTCACCACGAATACTGCATTCATCTTCAAGTTTATAGGATCTTTTTTCCTTATTTTTGATCGAAGAATAATAGCGGGCTAATTTCGGGTATATGATTTGAAAATAGGCAACGTTATGCAGAAGATGTGGGTGTAGCAATATTCATGAATCGATTCCACTCGGAAATGATTCAAGTTTATAGGAACTTTTGTTCCTATTTTTGATCGAAGAATCTGGTAGTACGGCAGGCTAATTTTGGGTATACATACAGGCTGATTCACGGTGGAAGGCACGTACATTAGACGTTTCTGGAGAACGTATCTCAGGATTATTCTGAAAGTTTGATGCCTGGGATAATCAGTTGTGCTCTATCGACCTAAAATATTCTCAGCGCTGCGACGTTGCCTCTTATATTGAAAAGTAGCAACAACTTTGATTTTTTAAATGGAACACCCTGTATATTATCCCATTTTCAAATTCTCCCTGAAGAGCTGATTTCATTGACCCATAATACTTGGGGTCAAGCAGTGACAATTACAGAGATATAGGGTGTGAAAAATTGAGATTTTTCAACTTTGAGATTTTTTTGTGTCGAAACCATTCATAATTGGTCGAAACGGTTTCCTTGTCCCTATCTCTACTTTTCATTGGAATAGGTACACCCACCCTTTATCTATTTCAATCAGATATCAATTAAAAGTACATAAAAAGTTGAGATAGGGACATGAATACCGTTCTGACTAATTATGAATAGTTTCGACACAAGAAATTCTTGAAGTCGACAAATCTCGATTTTTCACACCCTATATCTTTGTTATCATTCCCGCTAGACCCCAAGTGTCATAGATCGATGAAATCAGCTCTTTAGGAAGAATCTGAAAATGGAATAATATATAGGATGTCTCATTCAATCAAAGATGTTGCTACTTTTCAATATAAGCGGCAACGTCGCGATGTTGAGAATATTTTAGGTGGATAGAACACAACTTATTATTATCCAAGAAAACAAATTTTCAGTATAATCTCCAGAAACGTCTTCCACCTTGAATCAGCCTGTATAGTTATTGGAAAATCGGCAACACGTTATACATAAGATTTGGGTGTAACAATATTTTTAAATAGATTGCACTCGAAAATGATACATCTGATCGGTACGGAAAAAGAGCACCTTTTTTTTTGTAAAACGGTGTGGATTTTCATAATCCGAGATTGGATTGTCGAAAAATATGCATAGGTACGAAGAAGTTGGAGGAACATAACACTCCTCAATAACATTTTTGAATAATCTCATTTTCACTGTATTGAGCGTAGAAAGTTCAGTTTCTGTACCGGATTGCCTCATTTTATCACATGGCGTTTCGGAAATATTCAGGAAATATCACCTTCAGGAGTCCCCTTCAAGGAGGCCGTGGCTATTAGGAGCCATTTTTCGACTTATGTTTATTAGATCTTTTCTTTCTATCCTGTATAAGACGCCGGATAATACATCATCAGTCATGAAATATTTTGCATTGGTTTCGAATCGGAACACCCTGTTATGTATCACTAATTTTATCAATGTCAAGATGAATTGCATCAACCACAGTAGCAATGAATTTACTTGTTGGTTAGGTAACTTCTTAAAATAGGTATAATTCTTTAATAAATCAATCTCTGTCACCAAGTAGGTGTGAACACTTCAACTTGATAAGGAATAATTATATAGGGTTAGTCGAGTTTCAAGGACCATTCAGATTATTTGTCCTATTTTAAGAATGAAGATCCTTTCATTTATATACCGGATGGCCCAACGAAAAATTTCCACCAGGATTGACATCCAAATGGGGGACGGCGTTGTGAGCGAAAAATATAGAGCGAATTTGAGTGAATCGACTTCTTTAGGGTGCAGAATTATTGGTCGCAGAACATTTTAATCAAAGACATTTATTTTGAACAAAAATGTATGGCGAATAATTTTAGCGCACTGCAGCCATTTAAAGCGAAATAAAAAATATACCACTGAAAATATGTCTTTGGCTATGGACTATGACTATAGGTTTTTGCTCCTAGACGAGTTTCACTCTCTAGAAGCACAGTTTTTTCTGCAAGAATAGTGGTACAATGTGGAAAAATGTTAACTTCAAAAAAGAACACTGTATTCCTAATATTAGTTCGTCGTCATGTTACAATACATTGAATATATATAGTATATAGAAAGGAGGGGTGATAAAACATATTGGAAATGTGTGGAATGTAAGGATAGATTATGCAATGGAAGTATACATACTAAAAATGAGAATATTATGAAAGAATCCGAGCATAGTCACCCACCGAATCCGGCAGAGATCTACGCACGAAAAGTAGTGGACGATATGAAACAACTGACTACCGAAACCAATGACAATCCAAAAAAACATTATTGTACAGTTACGTATACACTTTTGTCAATTATTTTCAACTTTTGTACCTACCCAATGAGAATGTCCTATCATTCATTGGATTTTGATGTTCCTGTACCTAGCAATGATTTGAAACTTGCAAAAATATCCAGAGTGGGCTATATAGTCAAAACCAAAGTGATCCAAATGTTACTTTGCAACTCAATTTTCTGGGTGCACTGGCTGGAAAAATTGATGCTATCTGATGGTTGGGACGGTCTTTGAGGTGTTTGTCATGACATTCATTAAATAATTCAAAAAATATATGTCTGTTGTATTTTGTTGAAAGTTTGATTATTATCAATAAAATTAATTAGCTCTTATGATTTTCTATATCATACATTCCTCAAAAGGCGTTAGTTCTCAAAGTTCCGAAATTTTTTTATTCTCTCCACAAGTAAGTGAATCGCTGTGGCTGTTTCGCTATTTAGATTGTTCGCTCTTGAGGTAGGGAGGGAAGGTATGTGTTGGATTTTTTTTAATTTTTGGAAGTTATAAGTTCTTGGGAATACTTCCATTGGCAAATAATTCCAAAGCTTCGCCGTTCTTTTGTTGTATTCATCGAGTACCTAGTAGAAAAACTCCCAGTCATCTCTACAATTATTCGATGTGAATGAAAGGACAATATCTAGGTCCATGACAAACTAATATATAACATCTATTTCTGTGCATTAGGAACGAACCGAAAGAAAATTTGGGGGGGGGAGGAGCAGAAAGAAAATTCTGCCAACTCAACTTTAAATTTTTCAATTTTCATTTTGATCAACGAATGAATAATACGATATTTATCACCCTATGTGGATTATTGAAGAACATTTTCTAAAAACTTATTATTTCTACAAACGTCAAAAAATGACAAGGTTCGCGCATCGATAACAATATGCAAAGTGACAGTTTTCTACATTTTCCTACGTTACCACGACGCCGTGTGATACTTCGCGCATTGCTGTAAACTTATATATTTTTGTATTTAACCATTATGGTCCTCAATCGAGCAAACATCCAAGAAATCATTTATTTCTGAATGTTTTTCAACTTTCGAATAATATTTTTTATCTCGATTATTTCTTAACTCCGCTGCGCCTCGTTAAAAAAATCAGTTTTCGATCACCAAAGTGGCATCTCGCGCACTAGATACAAAAATAACAATTTTCTACAAATGTCAAAAAATGACAAGGTTCGCGCATTGATAACAACATAGATGTGCGAAGTGACACTTTTTTCAGTTTCCTACGTTACCATGACACCTTGCGCGAAACAGTGTGCGAAGTAAAACAGTAGGCGAAATAGATACTTCGCGCACTGCATGTAAACAATATGGGATTTTTGTACTTTAACCTTTATGATCTTCAATCAAGCAAAAATGCACGAAATCATTTATTTCTGTAGGTTTAACACTAATTGAGACATTTCAACACTATTTTCGAACTCAGATAGCACGAATATTCTCAGAATATTCTCACAAGCTGCGAAATTGTGTTCTTGTAGAATATTCGAAAGAATATTCATGGAATGTTGCGAATATTTATGCAATGTTCCATGCGAACATTCTAATAATATTGTGAAAGTACATTCCTATAGATGCTACTGATGGAATATAATATTCCAGTAGCATAATTAGTTATTTTTGTATCTAGAGCGCGAAATGCTACTTTGGTGATCGAGATCTGATTTTTTTAAGGAGGCGTAGCCGAGTTAAAAAAATAGTCGAGATAACCAAAGTATTTCGCGCTCGAGTTGCAAACAAATTTTTTTCTACAAACCTCAAAAAATATAGTTCTAAAGTAAAAATATGCTTAGCTTGTTATAAAAATAGAGTTGAACTGGCTTAAAAGGCCTCCCCTACCCTCCCTAGATACGCACGATGTTCCACGAACATAATAGGAGTTTCCTTTCGTGCGCTCCAAGAGATAACACAAAGTGATTGTTGAACATTCAGAAATAAATGATTTTGTGGATGTTTGCTCGATTGAGGACCATAAAGTTGAAATATAAATATCTCATATATTTTACATAACAATGCGCGAAGTAGGTACTTCGCGCACTGTTTTACTTCGCGCATTGTTTTGTACAAGGTATCACGGTAACGTAGGAAACTGAAAAAAAGTGTCACTTCGCAATTTGTTATCAATGCGCGAACCTTGTCATTTTTTGACGTTGTTGAAAAAATATATTCCTTGACAATATTCTGATTCTAAGAATACTGTTTAAAATTAAATATAAAAAAAATACGTTGGGGGGATGGACACCCCCTTCCAATGGGGCCCATTGAAAGGGGGTTTTCTGTTTCTGTGTATATTTCATGAAAGTATCCATTATTTTCCTTCAGATCATGGGTGGAATGACTCAACGACCTTGGACACCCACCAAAAGACGTGGTCCCATTGCTGCCGAATTCAGGGGTCCAGGTCCGGCTTGTGTTCTGTTACAATCAACTATCGGTAAGAAAAAGATGGGTACCTGATTTTCTTGCGAGTTGGAGATTATCATGATTTTTGTAGGCAAAAAGACTTCGGAATCCAAAACAGAGAGGGCACCAGCTTTCAGTTTCGGAGCCAGGCATAATGGAAAGATGGAGAGTATAGGACCAGGGCCAGGACAATACAACGTTACTGGCCTTAGTGCGAAAGGTAGAATTTTAACTGCAAATTCAATGGCAATATATTTTATCATTTTTATTATACAGTATCGTCATTTTTGAGTAAGTAGTAGTATTCTAGGGTAGTAGTATATGTTCTTCGTTGATAGGTGTGTACAGGGTGATTGTTCATATTTTACTCAATAACTTTCTCAGTTAATATTGGTCTCACAGAAACGTTCCAAAATGAAGTTTTTATGGGCATTCAGAATTTAGTACTTTATTGTATTTTTCTAAACGGTAGAGCTCTCTCTCTCTCTTCTGATTTCGAATATATAAAGGGGGATATTTCGAGAACTCCCCACCCTCAAAATAAAAACAAGTTGATTTAGGCCAACTTACCTATATCCAAAATCGTCTGGTTGAGTTGGTACAAGGCGTTGAAGTTTTTTTGGAACAAAATAATTTTGCTCATAAAAAGAGTGGGCTGAGATCGATTTTCTTAATATTTGGCATGTCATGTTTTGTGACTGTAAACCAAGTTTTGAGATGTTTGTGATCATCATCAGTGACCTGCGAGTGTTTCAAACAACCATGTTGCCGTACAAATTTGGTGATAACTTTTCAGAGGTCAGACTGGAAACCTTTATATGTTTTTTCCAGAAAGATATTCCCTTCAAAAATATTTTTTGTATCTTGTCGATTTTTGACAAGTCTTAAGGTTCATTTGCAAATAAATGATTTCTGATCTGCTCCATCCTGCGTATTTTTGGAAATCGATCTAATTAGTCGGACTGTTTATTGATCATGGCAACACTGTATTCTTATTGTGAACAAACTGATATGTTGCTGGTCCTCGCGGGCTTTACAAGAACTCTCGCGTTACAAATTTAGTAATAACTATTCAGGACCTAAGGTGAGAACTTTAACGCCTTGTACCAACTCAACGAAACGATTTTGGATATAGGTAAGTTGGCTGAAATCAACTTATTTTCATCCCAGGAGTCTACAGTCAAGTCATGTCCCAACCAGATTATTTTTAAAAAAATGCATAAGATGCCTCAGATCAGAAATTATTTATTTGCAAATGAACCTCGAGACTTATCAAAAATTAACACGATACAAAAAATATTTTTGAAGGGAATATCTTTCTGGAAATAACATAATATATGAAGGTTTCCAGTCTGACCTCTGAAGAGTTATCACCAAATTGGTACAGCAACATGGTTGTTTGAAACACTTGCAGGTCACTGATGATGATCAAAACCATCTCAAAACGTGACTTACAGTCACAGAACATGCCATGCCAAAAATTATGAAAAACGATCTCAGCCTACTCTTCTTATGAACAAAATTATTTCTTTCCAAAAAACTTCAACGCCCTGTACCAACTCAACGAGACTATTTTGGATATAGGTAAATTGGCCTGAATCAACTTGTTCCTATCCCAGCAGTCCACAGTCGAGCCATGTCCCAACCTTTTACAGACACCCTGTATATTTGAAATCAGAAGAAAGAGTTCTACCGATTAAAAAAATAAAATGCAGAGTGTGCCATTCAAAAAATCAATTTTTTTTGAAATTTTCATGTTAACGATGTTTTTTTTTCATTTTATAGTGATAGATTTTGAATGCCCATTAAAAAGACTTCATTTTGGCCCATTTGAACGTTTCCGCAAGACCAATATTATCTGAGATAGCTATTGACTAAATATAAGCAATCACCCTGTACATACCAACTGGCCTTCAGTTCAGCCCAAAGTGTTTCAAAATGATGTCTTCTATGCAGGCTCTGTAACTAACTCAATGTTTTGACATAATATTGGAAAATAATAAGGTATCAATGAAATTGTTAATGAGTCTCTATAATCATTGAGTTCACAAATAGAAATGTCTCTTTGAAAGTCTCCAATTTGTCCCACTCTGTAGGTACATATACATGAAATCTGATTGAACTTCGTATTCGGATATATTGAAACATGAGCAAATAGAATATTTAATCAGGTTCAATATGAAATAATGCCTTATATATAGTTTACTGATCAGAATCTATAGGAATTACAAAATCGAGAAATGTTCCATGACTAAAATTTTCTTGCAGGAAAAGACACTCCTCCTTCTCTGAGCCTCCACGGTCGTCCCAAAGATCCAAAACCAGACAATTTTCCTGCTCCAGGCGACTACGATCCCGATAAGGCTGAACAAGTGATACATGAAAAAGCTCCAAAATATACCTTTGGGTTGAAAACAAATATGGAGAAACCTCTGGATACGCCTGGTATGACAATTTGACAGTGAAATATAAACGAAAGTAATCGATTGAATAATTTAATATTAATTATAATTTGCTTGGGTTTAAAAATGGTAAAATGGTATAGTAGGTCAATATATAGTTATACTAAGTATTAATTAATTTTAACACAGCTCCTAATGCTTATAAACCGTTCAGTCGCTCCAGTAGCCACAGATACTCATTTGGACGGAGGACACCCACACAAAGAATTAGTGAAACGCCTGGTTAGTTTTTGCTATTTATTTATATTTTGCTTATACCAGATTTTTGTTATTTGTTGAATTTTATTTCTTTTTTTATTATTATTTTAGCACCGAACGTTTATGATGTCCCGAAGGCCGATAAAGTACTTTTAGATAAAGCACCAAAATACAGTTTCGGAGTGAAAGCTGATCTACAAAAACCATTTGACACTCCGGGTTAGTTTATTTTTCGAACTCTTTCTTGTATCTCTTCTCCAGAATGCAATGTGCTATGAGACTATTGACATATTCGCATTTCAGCACCCAATGTATATAATGTTCCAAAATCAGATAAAGTACTTTTAGACACATCCCCAAAATACAGTTTTGGAGTCAAAGCAGAACTCCAGAAACCGTTTGATGTTCCTGGTTAGTCCTAATGTAATGAATATCAAACAATTGAAATATTCGAATTATGCACTGGTTTCTTTATTCATCTTATAATCTCGAAATCATTCTTATTACTATTATATTAACGCGCACTATTTTGCACTATGTACAGCACCAAATGTTTACAACACTACATGCGAAGTTCTACACGAAAATGCACCGAAATTCAGCTTCGGAGCCAAAGTCCAAGGGGAGAAACCCCTCAACACTCCTGGTTGGTTTGATATCTACTATCTCTACTAACCTCTCAACTGATCAGCTCAAATCTATGAATACAATATAATTAAATTTGTTTGAAAAACTCCAATCAGATGATGGCACCAACCAAATATCTCATTAAGTCAACTGATATTAACAAAAATGATCAACTTTTGATAGAAATAGCATTTTTTGACATCAAAGACTTATGCGTTGACCGCACCAAGTCATTTTATGGAGAATCGGATATATGTATCTGGCCCTCCCTCTACTGTTGCTATAGCTCCGCCCCGTAGAACATCACGTGTTCCGATGTCGAGTCGTAGTGACAGTGGTGGGGGTCATTCTTGACTGAGTTGTATCACAGGTTGTATGAATATTTCTAGCGCCTAACGTGTACAACATACCATCTGGGGTAGGGGACAAGTCAACTCCGGCTTATACGATTTCTGGAAGGAATAAAGAGCCCGTAGATGACAGAGTGAAGAATCCCGCTCCTGGACAGTACAATAATGTAGATCCCGAACATTACAAGACGCACTCTCCTGCTTACACCATGGGGAGTCGTGTGAATATCCCTAAAGAGGAGAATATCCCAGGTCCAGGGGTCTACTCACCCGAAAAGGTAAGCACATTTTTCGTTTCAGAAAATGTTTCCTACTAATACCTCACCGCAATATACAGGTTGTTCAATTTGAAACTATTTCGATTCATATTCTTAATATAATCTCCTAAAAATAAAAATTGAATAAAGACAAATACTGTCTGTAATCGAGGAAGTGGTACATTTTTTTCAATCATTTTGCTAGATTTTTCATGATTGGCCCCAAAATGTCACTGCGTTTAAACATGTTTCTATCAGAGAGCCTGAAAGAGAAATCCAATCACTTGTCAGTGACACTTTGTTTTGACAAAGCTTGTCCATATTTTTTTTCTTAAAACATGTTTCAAAACAAAGTGTCACTGACAAACAATTGGATATTTCTTTTAAATGTCCTAGTGACATTTTGCGGCTAATCATCTGAGCAAATAATCTAGCAGGATGAATAAACACACTTCTCAAATTGCATATAAGAGAAAATAGGCTATATGGAATTCGGGAATCCATGGTGTACCATGTACTAAGATTGATTAGAGTGATATACAGGGGTGTCCCTATAAGGTCTTACCACATATTCTTTAGACCAAAATAATTCGACATCCTGTATATTGATCATCAAATCTTGACCAATTTTTTTTTATCATCATTACATCATTCAATTTAGGTTGTAAACCATCTGAGACACGCTCCAAGTCATTCTTTTGGCATCAAACACTCACCTTATCTCGGTTCTCAATATTCAGGATTGCGAAGAGAAAAAACCTATCTTCTATTTTGAAAATCTTCTAACAATCTCCTACATTCTTACTAACAGAAACTAACAGCCTTCGAACCTTCAACTCCGAAAAAGGTAACCTCATGTTCATTTTGTTACTTGTTGAAGTTTAAGAATTGATGAACATACTCATTTTCCGTAATTTTTGTCTATTAACTTAATATCCTATTTTTTAGCATGACCTAGATATTCCGGAAGCACACAGTTTTGGGATTAGACATTCACAATATGCTGAACACTACTAAAGAATAACCGAGCGATATCGATGACGTTTCGACTGTGTTTCTCCTATTTATCCTCAAGAAATGCAGAAATTCATCAAGATTTTTTATAAATTGTTAGAATTTGTCTTGTTTGAACAAAATAAATTATTTCATATCGGTCGAGAAAATCCCGGAACAATTATTGTGAATTGCTTTTTTGTCAGAATATTCAGGTAGGTAGGTAGGTGGGTATAGCTATTTACTTGATGTATTGACGTTTCTGAATAATTATGCCTATATTGCCAATAACTTTTTGGGTTCATCAAGCTTATATTAATCCAAAATGCCGTTCTTTCTATAAAGCCACTTTTGGTTGATTATTAACATTTTATACCATGTTTTGAAATAAATATTTTATATTCCTTAGTGTTTTAGTAAAACTGTTCTTGTTTTCAATTCATACATTCCCGATCCTCAGTATAGTGAAGATGGTTCAGTATTTTTCTGAGAATATTCTAATAACATGCAAATGGGACGAAAATTCGCGTTTCAAGAAGATTCTCATAATATATCTCATCAGAACATCTTTTTTTATGTTCTGGTTCCCACGAAAAGGGATATTCTGTAATGTTCATAGAACATCGTGGAAACCAAGGGAAATAAAGTAGGAATTGGTGTTCTTCTTGAATATCTGGAGGTTATATGCCTCGGGAAACACCTCCCTTGGCAAAGTGTTCCAGAGCCTCGGTGTTCGTTGGATGAACGAGTCTCTGGAAAAAGATGTTCTGCAGGTCTCCAAAGTGACCACGATGCAAAGCCTCAACTCGACGGGTTAATCTCGCGGGGACTGCCAAGGGAAGAACAATTGTTGATATTTCAGAAGAGCATCTTCCATGAAAATATCTATAAAATAGAGTCAGATCGCCAACTTTTCTACGGTGTTCCAGAGGAGTGAGTCTGTGAGCGAGGCATCACCCACGAGACGAATTGCCCTTTTTTGGACAGAATCCAATTCTATGAATGATCTAGGAATATGCTCAGTTCACAGGTTATCTTCCAAAGAGCATGGAAAATATTTCAGGGATCGATATAGGACATAACTGTATGTTCCAAAGTCAATATAAGGGTGATATTTATTCAACACACTTTAAAAAAAAAATCACGCAAAAACTGTAGCAGTAAAATACCATACACAGATCATGAATACTTCACGAATATCACGATGTGTGAAAGCATATTCAGTTTCAGCGCTCCTAATGTGTGGGGAGAAAATACCGAAATCAGCGAATCGATATCTTGAATAATCGATTGGAAATTGATTTTTTCTGAAAAATTTGACACCCTCTATCTCAAAAACGAAGCAAGTCAGGACATATGTTTATAATAGGAAACAAAAATGTTTCTCTTCCTCAGAGTAACTATCTGAATGATATATTCGAACAATACATTCTATGATCATTTCTAAATAACATTAATAGAATACCATGGAATATTCTAGGAACGTTGCTAGGATATCTTAGATGGAATGTTCTATGAGTTTTCTCGTGAAACATTCTATGAACATCCACAACATTCTCATCGTATTCTATGGAGATTCTTTGGAATATGCAGATGGAAGTATATTGTGAACGTTGTGAGAACATTCCTACCCAAAAAGTGTTATATTTCCAAATGAAAATGAATTCATAATAAACTGGCGGCCATTATGAAATTATGACATCAGAGGTGTAGTGTTCAGGCAAAACTCCTCTATAATACATGATTGTGTCATCAGCTAAATGTATATGTATACATACTTCAGTCCAAATCTCATTTGCCCCCAAACTACATAAAGTCACATCACTGTCTGTGACATATCGTAATAGTCAACGTTCCTGATGATGCCCTGCTCAACTATAGGCGAAACGTTTGAACAACACAGGGATATTTGCGAATGAAGCGGATGTCATCAGTATATATGCGAGTAAGTTATTTATGTCTGAATGATTCAACTAGATTGAGCTTTATAACTTTAGCATGTGGATGTGAATTTCCATAATCTATGGAAGCTGAAATATCAAATGACTGCTGGATACAAGCAAGAGCCATTTTTCATGCCGATCATAAAATTCAGGTATAGGTATATTAAAACATTGGCGTACGGATACTCAGGATGCAATTAAATATCCTCAACCACAGGCATTGTCATCTTGGTAACATGGATAGCTGATAAGTTCTAATTATTATCATTACCTATCACATTGATGACATAATATTATACTGGATGTTCAAAATAAGCCGACCCTCTTGCTAGGGTAGGTAGAAGACTGCCAAATAAGTGGGGTTTGCTCAGTAAAATGATGTCGTGACGACATTCGTTTTAAAGATACAAGGTGTTGGAAAAAATGTTTCTTTATACATTTTTTACGATTATGTCGAAACTACTGGCAAAACTGTAATGCAATTTTGTATGAATATGGTTTGGAAGCTGACACATCGTATGAATTTGTTTTCATATCTTACCCTCATAAAGGGCTCTAGTTTCAACACAGACGGCACCTATTTTCTAATGAATATTGACATATTCCTAAACTATTTCATGAATATGCAAATAATCTAATATCCTCAAAGAATATATATGCCTGGATTATGTTTTTCGAATATTCATTAGATAGGTACTTTTTACGAATATTAGAGAAATATTGCAAAATCAGGTTGTCGGAATGCTGACCTATCCCGAATGGCCACGAGTCTCTCGGTCATCGGGTCATCGCCTTCTGTTCAACAGTCAGTGTTGCCAGTTCTACTGATTTTCCAGCAGACCTACTGATTTTCATGACATAATTGAAAATATCGATAAATCATTATCTTAGTTATGATTGGAAAGCATATATTCTATGCATATATTCAGAACCGATCCCTAACATGTCCAACCAATATCTTTTGGAAGATACACATATATTCCTGGCATCTCTGCTTCATGGTGACTTCGTATTTCCCTGGAATATGCATATCATATCTTCTGGAGGACATGGAATATCCATGGAATTTGTCAATATTTCAACGCAATATACACAGAGGATATTCATTCATAGAATATGATTGTACCGTCTGGGAACATGTTACTTTGACTGATTGAATATTAACCAACGTAGGTGATTGAATATTCTATGTTTTTAGTGAATCTTCTCTCCGTTTTCTAATTGCAAAATATGGTCTGAAAAATCTAACCTCAAAAAAGTCATGTTTGAAACTGCTCGGTACGAACCGTGTAACTATACAGCGCCCTCAATGAGAGTCAGATATCAAAACAGATTCATGCGATGTGTCAGCTTCCAGAACATATCCATACGATAATATGATGTCATTACAATTGATGATGTCTGAAGTTTCGACATAATCTTAACAAATACTTGAATAACTATTTTTCTCAACAACTTGTATCTCAAAAACAGATGCCGTTACGTCATTTCTTGACTGTACAAACCCAACTTATTTTTGCAGTGTTCTACCAACCCTAGCAAAGGGGTCACGAGTCTAAGAAAACTTCTTCATACGAACATAGTTATGTACATAACCTCTTCATTCCTAACAGTGACGTAACTTCATATTTTGCCCCCCGCCCCCGCAATAATTATTCAGGGCTCCCGAGGAGAGAGAAGTATAAAAAAATAGAAACATGCAATTTGAAAGAATGTATGTCAAATTAAAACTATTATACCTAAATAAATCTGATGTATAACCTATAGTTACGACTGAAATTGATTTCTTAGAGATTTTGCCCCTGCGAATGTGTTTATCAAATACATTTTGTTCATATTAGCACCAAAATTATAGCCTCTATACTCTACAGAGAGTTGTAACAAATTGCTCATCCTATCTTTTTCAACTATTTCTTATAGATACTTTTCGACTACTTTCAATTTCGAAGACGATCTTTGTTACGATTTCAGTGAAATTTGATGCCAAAGTATTACTTTGAATAATTAGAAAATTATCCAAATCTCGTATGTCATTCAGTTTTAATGGGACGGTAGAGTCGGCACCGGCACTTGTCATATTTTATGAATTCTATGATACAATTTTTGTACAGATGAATCATTTCACACTTGGAGTTTTAAAAGTGTCCAAAATAATAATTACTTGATGTTCTGGTTTTGGTTGGTGGACTCAGGGCCCCCTCCGAGGGACAGGCCTAGCTCGCCTCACTGATTTCTGGGTTATTTAGGATGCTCACATTTAACAAAAAACACGATTTCCACGATATATCCACAATTGTATAGGGTTTTTCAATTTTGATATTTGAAAGTGAGTTGATGATTGCAACATTTAAATTGTACTCTGGGCTCACCTCAACTCAACTCAACTTTCCGCCGGTCATCATTTAGGAGCCAGACAATAAAAATATCGAATACTAGAAACATATGAAGTGAGTGAGTGAAAACATTTGAATGATCATTTTCTAATCATACAAAACTTCGTCTCCATCGTGTCTGACAGTTTGACGTTACCATTTCCAACTTTTAAAAAAGAAAGTCAACGTATCCTAATAGAGGCTGTTTCGATATGCATTTGGGTGAAATAATGACTTCCAAATATTCCTTATATTTCATAACAAAATATCATGTAAATGTTTGAGACTTCGCAACATTGTGCTGAATGCTGAGAACTGACAAGACCACGCCCACAATTCGTGCGCTGTTGTTGTCACGTTCACCCGAGCGTTTACCGGTTCAAATGTCCTTTAGTGTGAATTAATATGATTAAAATTCACACAAATGTTTTATAATCGGAATAAAAAAAGAGGTTATGTGACCAACTTTGACATTACAAAACCCAAACAAACAAAGGTTTGTAATTTTAAAGTTGGTCACACCTCTTTTTTTATCCCTAACTACTAAAACAACTACTTTCCTGGCTATATGCCATACAGAACGTTGGATTACATCCTCCCGAAATCAATGCAATAATTCGTATAGACGAATAAAATCGCAAGTGTTTCCTTCCTAAACGCCGAGCTTTGCCTATATGTGGTTCATTATCGTTCATTTTATGAACTATTTGTTACCATTGCATTCCACTTTGAGTGTTTGGCTCTTCCCTAGTTCGAATAAATATATTCTAAATATAATGTTGTACCACCACAATGTAAGTGCAACATACCTACACATTATTTCATAGAAACAGCCATGAGCAAGTCTCAATTTTTATCACTGACAAATCGTGCCAGCAATATGCCATCGATTAAAAATAATGGGTCATTGAAACTCCTGCTATCTTGAAATTACGCCAGTCGGGCAACCAGCCACTCCCGTATGGGAATTTCAGTTTTGGAGTGATTCTTTCCTGTGTTCTACTCAGATGGCGTTACTTTCATATTGTTGATGAAATACGCCTCGGGGGGAATATAATGCCGACTTGATTTTTGTTTGGCTAGGCTTTGCTGAGTCGGCG